CTATCCCCTCCTTCTTTCTAATAAAGCTCTTTGTAACTCTGGTAGTCGTGGCAATGGCCCGTGACTTTTCTACTGGTAACCAGCGCTGCCACCAGTACCGTTTATCATAACCATCATTTGGTGCCATGACTCGGATAGGAAATTCTGCTCACTCAGCGTCCGGGGCTGAACATTGTCAGAAACCTAACCAAGGACTTGTGACTGCCCACTACCCATTTGCCTGCCACCATGATACTATGCTCCCACCACTACCACCGCCACATCTCCCCAAGATTGATGAGTCCCCCTCCATTTCCCACGGCTGCAGCCTGAGCTATGTTGCTCGCGCCAGACCCCTGGGGGTTCCTTGTCGTGTTCCACGACACATTCTATCTTGACAAAGTATAGGATGCTGTCTGGTCCCCCCAGAGGGGTCTCCGGTGCATATGCCCCAGCCTTTACCCTTATCATGACAATGGTTGAGGTAACCTGTGCTATTAATGCCGATTTGCAGACTGCCTATTCTCAAGGATGCTTGAGATAGGAGCCTGGGATCCCGTTTGTTATTTTAATTTTTTATTTTTCTCTTTCAGTGCTGCAGCCATGGGACATAGGGGCGGATACCAGTAAATTTGGCCACATAACAGCTTCATGGGAATTATCTAACTTCTGTCAGAGAACAGGCAAATGAAAAGAGTTACATTATCCCCAAGCTTTCTACCAACGCTCTGAACCCTTCTCCCTCTCCATTTCTGATTCTTTCTCTGACATGTGCAACCACTTCTGTCTATCTGACTTCTGCTTTCCGTTCTCCAGCATTGGGCGGGCTTTAACTCACCTTAACTCCTCCCACTCGTTCTCAAGCTGCCCTGAGAAGCACAGACGGGTGGGTCTGTTTACAATCAAAACCCACATGGAGATCACAGTAATAAGGATGGCTCTATAGCCAGAGATCAGTTTATAGTCTGCCTCCTGGCAGGTCTTCCAAAAGCTGTCCTCAAGCCAGCAGACATCAAAAAACATTCAAGACATGGAGTAAAATCTGTCTCTTGTCTCCCAGACCTCCCTGACATAGGACTAAAACTTAAGCATCTGGAGAACAAAGCTCCTGACTCCACAGGTGGAAGTTTCAGCTGTGGTATTTAAGGTATACCAGGGGAGAGATGAAAAAGCCTGAGAACAGAATTGCCAAGTGCTGGCACACGCTGGCTCCCGAAAGCTGTTGGGTCCCTGTTTTAAGTGTGTGGGGGGGGGGAAGGCCACACAAGCTAGTACGTGCCCTGCCAGGCCATCAATTGAGCCTTATTCAAAGTGCTGCCTAGAAAGACAACCGGTCAGCTGACTGCACCCAGGCACCAAGAGGCAGGGGGACAGACTAACCAATACAAGCAGAGTACTAAACACTACAATGGTCACCAATTTTCTCATGACAGCTTCTTAACATGTTTCAAAATTTTTCCCAAGCTCCAGAAACCAGGTTAAATTCATCTGTACAGGTGGATCTACTTCAGGCTTTTTCTGTCTCACCAGCATCCTGTCAGACACAAAAGCGGCCAGGGTGCCAAGCCAAGAGGGATGAATGGTTCCAGGGCAACAGGACAGCCCACCATCCCAGGACGCCTGTCTACCTCAGAAGCCCCCTTCCTTACCTCCTAAGAGCCAACTGATGCCCACCAAGTCAGCTGGAAGCAGTTTCCAGGAGAAACGACGCCCCTATTCCTATTCACTTGCTTTATTTATAATAAGCAAAAAGTCTAGAATGTTAGGATCCTGCCCTCACTCCTGCACATAAGCAGCTCAGGGTCTTGAGTCTTCTGTCATCAGCAGGCACTGGTGACTACATACCTGCCTTTAAAAGCCAGACGTGGACCCCCACCCTCTCTCTCTGCTCCCTGCTCTCTGCTCTGCTCCCGCCATCCAAGTCATGGCACCAAATGATGGTTATGATAAATAGCACTGGTGGCAGCGCTGGTTACCAGTGGAAAAGTCACGGGCCACAGCCATGACTTCCAGAGTTACAAAGAGCTTTATTAGAAAGAAGGAGGGGATAGGAGGGAGGAGATCCAGGCCTGGAGAGAAAGAAAGATGATGGGAACAGAGCAGAGATCAGGGAGCAGAGAGGGAACAGAGAGAGAGCAAAGAGAGAGAGGGTGGGAGTCCGCATCCGGCTTTTTAAGGCGGGTACATAGTCGCCAGCACCCGCTGATGATGGAAAATGCAAGACCCCGAGTTGCACATGTACAGGAGTGAGGGCAGGATCCTAACACCCATGTCTTGCAGATGGCAGGCCTTGCTTGACTTAAAGCAGTTTGGAGACCACCTATTGGTATTTGCTCAGTCTTTGCAAGGGCTGGGGGATTAGTGTTCTTGTGGGCAGAAGACTAAATTTTCCACTGCTCCACATGGAAGAATTAGAATGAGTCAATTGTTCTTAGGGAAGTTTAGCAAGGGAGAAGGCCTTGCCCTAGCTCTGTCAGCCAGAGGTTCATAGGTAAGACCTGGACCACTTGACCATGGTGAATATATTGTGGGGTCCAGCAAAATGACAGTGTTGTCCTGGCCAGACTGATCCTGTGGTCATTTTCCAAGCCTGTCCTTTCAAAAAGTCCTTTTGTGTGTGTGTGTGTGTGTGTGTGTGTGTGTGTGTGTGTGTGTGTGTGTGTGTAGGTCAGAGGATTACTTTTGGGAGTTGATTCTCTTTCCACCATTTGTATCCCATGGATCAAACCCATGTTGCCAGGTTTGGCAGAAAGTGTCCTTCCCTGCTGAGCCATCTTGCTGACTTTCAGAGTGTTCCTGACACCACCCTGAGCCCTCTCGCTTTGGGAAATCCCAATGAATGCATTTTTCTCCATCTTCCCACACCTTGGTGACTCTTGTAGCACTTCCCATGAATACAGAATAGCTTCTGCCTTCATTTGTTTCTGGACAGATTTCTGTAAGAGGGATGTTAGAACAGACATAAAATTCACACTTGTGTTAGATGCTCTGGGGGACAGTTTACAGTAACTGGTCATGTGTCCTGGGTTGGAGGTTGTCAGGAAGTGGGGTATTCTCAGAGAAGTGACTTAATCATCCTATCCTGTAAAACCAGAAAAGAAAGCTTTAAGGCTGCTGTGGGGCTCTTCCTCAGATGGAAGCATTGAAACACTCCCTCTTGGAGGGAGACTCGGAGACTCCAGAAGGAAACCCAGGAAGATTCACAGCTCCCCACTCCATGAGGTTATATATGTAGTAAACAATTGGTGGGGGAAGGAGACTTTTCATGTAGCTGCCTCAAGTTACACAGCGAACTCCAGCTTTCCTGAGTCATCACCTATACTAGGGTGAGCTTTGGGATGATGTCTTTGAGTCACCCGTATTCCTGTAAATTACCTGAACACACTCATTGGTTCACCAAGCTGGACTTGCACACAGTTGTGTCTTTGGTCTGTCTTGGTGCACTGTCTAGAGTAAAGAGACCTTTGTTCACCGGGTGGTGGTGGCGCACACCTTTAGTCCCAGCACTCAGGAGGCGGAGCCAGGCAGATCTCTGTGAGTTCAAGGTCAGCCTGGTCTACAGAGCAAGATCCAGGACAGGCACCAAAACTACACAGAGAAACCCTGTCTTGGAAAACTAAAAAAAAAAAAAAATTGGCTCATATTGCCCTGGGGAAGTTGGAGCTCACTGTGTGACTTGAGGCAGCTACATGAAAAGACTCCTCCCCGCCACCAACCGGTACTTTGTGTAACCCTCTTTGTGCACCAGCCAACTTCGCCAGAGAAGTCTACATTTACAGCAAGCGGAGACCATTTCCACCACAAGTGGAGACAATGCACAGATCAACTGATTGTGGGGAGCCCAGCCCCAACAGGTACATCTACACCACAGTTCCTGCATCTATGGCTCAGGGAACATCATGGAAGAGAGGGTGGAAAAATTGTAAGACCCAGAATACCAGGAAGCCTGATATAAAACACTCTCCTAGAAATGGTGGCATAAAAAAACAGAAAAATGGTACTATTAACGGGCATGTTAAAGTGGAAGGGGACACCGGTGACTGACTAGTGGGAGCTGGAAGAAGGAGAATTGACCTTTGCCATGGATGAGCCCATTACTGGTTGTCTAATACAGAGTGGTCAGCCCTGAAATCATATACACACAAACGACAGAAACAGATTCAGCAAGCTGTATATACATGTGATAATAATTAAAGAAAAAGAAGAAACTATCAATTTAAGGGTGGGGGTGTGTGAGGCAAGGTCCTTGTGCTCACAGGTAAGCACTGGTGGAACAGAGAATGTTAAACACACAGGGTTGTCTCTTCAAAGGGAAAGAAAGCTGGGAGTGGAGCTGATTTACAGCCTGGCCACCTTTGCACTATCTGTGTGGCTGAGACCACATCAGATCCTTCCTCAGGCCCTTATCTTGGAACTTATTTAATGGAAGATGTCACATGCACTTTACAAAGAGTTTTGATGGTCATATCTTAAGCTTTACTGTGCACATGGGACTGAGTTAATTATCACCTGGAAATTTCACCACATTGTGCTGTACTATTTAAGCCTAAATGTAAATGAATTGGGGTCAGACTCTTGACATTTGAACCAACACCTTCTACTGAGTCAGTGGAATTGAACTGGCTTCTTATCTCTCACTGATTGTTACCCTTCTGGCGTTGGTGGTCACAGAGACCTCATACTGGGGGAACATGGAAAGGAGAAACTGGAGGGAGGAAACAGTGGGGAAAGTGATATAATTCTATTCAATGAAAAATGTGTTTGGGGGGCTGGAAAGATGGCTTAGCGGTTAAGAGCAGGGACTGCTCTTCCAGAGGACCCAGGTTCAATTCCCAGCACCCACATGGCATCTCACCACTGTCTGTAACTCCAGTTCTAGGGGGGCCCAGTGCTTCCATCCAGTACCACACATGCACATTATGTATAGACATACGTTCAGGCAAAACACCAAACTAACTAACTAACTAACTAACTAACTAACTAACTAACTAACTAACTAAATAAATAAATAAATAAATAATTTAAAAGATGTATTTAGGGGGTTGGAGAGATGTCTCAGCTGTTAAGAGCATAATGCTCTTGCAAAGGATCTGGGTCCAATCATGTATCACTTCAGTTCCAGGGGATCCAATACCCTCTTCTGACTTCCACAAGCACTGAACACACATGTGGTGCAAATATATGTATGCAGGCAAAACATTCACACAGTAATTAAATAAATCAAATTAAATTTAAAATAAAAAAGGTACAGTAGAAACAAATGAGAAGCACAAGCCTGAAAGAGAGAGAGAGAGAGAGAGAGAGAGAGAGAGAGAGAGAGAGAGAGAGAGAGAGAGAGAAAGAGAGAGAAGAAACCAGTAGCCAATCAGAGTCAGGATATGGACATTATAACGGTTTGAATATGGCTTATTTCCCAAAAGTTCATGCTCTAGAAACTTGATCCCCTGATCTGAAGAGGCAAAACCCAAATACAGCTGATAGGTCAAATGACCCTGGTGGGAAGGGGTTGGTGTAGTGGATACCTGTTCTACCTATGGCCTTGAAGTACCAGCTCCTAGGGAGTGGCCTCAGGGCTACCCTTAAGAACTGAGGGCATGTACACCTTGTTCTATTCTCCCTCATGGACTTGGATGGTGGGGACTGACTCAGGCAGCAGAAGCAGCATGGGACAGACCACCAGCCTTCCAGGACTCTATGACAGATTTGCCTATCCTGTTTTGTGAATTGTTCTCCCCCAAATAATTTCTAAATAAATAATTCCTTTATCAATATCTGTGGACCATTCAGCAATATCTGGAGCCCAACATGGGGCACGAATTTTCGGCCCTGGGATTAAGAGTCCCATGCTCTACTGACTGAGCTAGCTGAATCATCTGGGCAACTTGTTTTCATTGGTGTCTGGTCCCCTCATCCTGAAAATATATAAACTTTTAAAGGTAACATACATATCTGCATTAATACAAGTACAGACTGTGCATTGTACACAAGTCAGCCAAAGATAATTTCTTGTTATGTGTTTGAGCAGGTAAATTATACATCACGTGTCTTGCAGTTCTTTTAGGTCTATGTTTTTATGTCTGTAGTCAGGATTTCAGGGCATCTTCCTCAATAAAATCTGATCATCTTTAATTTTGAATGAATCCATAGTCTCTCATTTCCTGTGGAAACAAAAACAACCTCTCCCCCAAAGTGGCATACCTTTTGACTTAAATTTTGGAGTCAAGATATTTTTAAAATATGTAGATTGGTTTAATTCAACAGTTTTTATAATCAAATGTCTCATGCGGTCAAAAAATTTAAAGACAACACAATAATATACATAATCCAGACTTTCTGTGCATTTTCCATCATCACCTGGCTCATTTATTTATATTACTTTACTCCCCTTTCTAAGGACTTTATTTTACTATTTTAAAACTACGTGTGTGTATGTGTGTGTGTGTGTGTGTGTGTAGTGTCTGTACAGTTAGATACTGGGATAATGGCTTCTTGTTTATTGTGCTAGGGCTTTGAGTGGTCTGGAGAAGCATTCCACTGCTGAGGGATAGGCCCAGTCATATTTGTTCTTTTTATTTTAAAGTCTCATTAAATTGTCATGCTGGCCTTGAACCCAGACAGTTCTTGAACTCATAATCTTCCTTTCTCAGCCTCTTGAATAACTGGGATTACAAATTTGTGCCAGGAGGTGTAGAGGGCACAGTGTAAGGTTTTGGTCCTTATTTACGTCCTTTAATTACGTCATCAGCCTTCGCCGGCTTCCCAGCCTAAAAAGCGGTTGGGCCCTCTGTGGGCTCTCTCTGTCCCCTCTCCTTTGCGCTCCTTACCCCCGTCAGTCCCCCTCTCTCCCTCCCCCCCTCCTGTCTCTCTCTCTTTCTTTCTCTCCCTCTCTCTGTCTTTCTCTGTCTCTCCCCCCCCCCAAATAAAGCTCTAAAAAGGTAACCATGGCTAAGATTCTTTCAATCAGCACGCTCCTCCGCGGGCACGCTCCTCCGCGGGCATGGCTGCCGCGGGCGGTGACCAGCCACGAGGGGCAGCTCGGCGGCATAACCAACAATGGTGCCGTGACTCGGATACACCACTGAACACCGAGGACCTGCTGACTGCTGCTGCTTGCCGCCTCTTCCCCCATCCAGCGAGACTGCGAGACTGCGAGCGCGCGCGCGTCCCTCGCCGCCTCCGCTGGACCCCCACACCGCCACCGCCATGATTCTTCACCACAGTAAGTCCGCTGTTCTCGCACGGTTGTAGTCTGAGCTATATTATTTGCGACGGACACCCCGGGGGTGTCCTCGAGCTGCACCAGCACCGGCACATTTCCGTTTCTGACGAGAAAGTAAATGCTGTCTTGGTCTACCAGGTGGATCAATGTGGCGCAGCTGCAGCCCTTCACATCCCTTGACGAAGAGGATGGTGAACTTGAGCTGATTCATGGATCTCTCTCCACTCTTTGGGGACGCCCAAGATTGTAGTCTGATCCCGGTTTGTTATTTTAATTTTTTATTTTTTTTTTCTCTCGGCTACACCCATGCGACAAAAGGGCGGATATATTGGTGGATAGGGGCGGGCACCGGTAAACCTGGTCTCATAACAGTGTAAATCTGGCCGCATAACAGAGTCGCGGGAACTTCTGCCAGAGAACGGGCAAATAAGAGTCACTTTATCTCCAAGCTTTCTGCTAAAGTTCTGAAACCCTGCTCCTTCCCCACTTCTGCGTCTCCATGTGCAACCTTTACTGTCTGACTTCCGCCGGAGGTGGGCGGGCTCAAGTGGGCGGGCTTGGGCGGCTTCTAGGACTCGCCCTAACTCACCTTAACTCCACCCACTCATTCTCAAACTGCCTTGAGAAGCACAGACGGGTCTAAAAGCGGCTAAGATCCATACAAATAAGTTTACAGTAGTCAGGATGGCTCATAAGCCAAAAAAACTGCTTATAGCCTCAGACAAGTCTTCCGGAAAGGATCGGTTTATAGTCTGCCTACTGGCAGATCTTCCAAAAGCTGTCCTTAAGCCATCAATCAGCAGGAAAAAAAAAAAAATTTTTCAGGACATAGAGTAAAATTCATCTCTTGTTCCCCAGACCTCCCCGACTAAAACTTAAGCATCTGGAGAGCAAGGCTCCTGACCCCACAGGCAAAAGAGTCATCTGTGGCATTTAAGGTGTGCCAGGGAAGAGATAAAAGCCCGAAAACAAAATTGCCAAGTGCTGGCACTCGCTGACTCCCAAAAGCTGTTGGGTCCCTGTTTTAGGTGAGGAAAAGGCCACAGGCTAGAGAATGCCCTGCCAGGCCATCGATAGCCTTGTTAAAAGTGCCACCTAGAAAGACAGAGTCAGCTGACTGCCCCCAGGCACCAAGATGCATGGGTACATCAAGCTAAGACCTTCAGCAGACCTAGGCTTGGCTACAGACATGGCAGGGAACCCAGAACGCAGCAGGGAAGTGATCCGATTCTTTCCTTCTGGACACCAAAGCCACTGACTCAGTCCTGGGAGTTTTGGGATGCCACCTCTCCTTTATTGTCAGGTACAGAGGACAGCCTTACCACCTCACCAGATTTAATTGCACTTTCAGAGTTACTTAATGAAAAAGATTTCCACCTAAAATAAGAGCTCATTGCTTCACTCCAGATCCACTGCCTGTGTTTCTCATGTGCATACAGACAGGGCCCTGATCTTTGCCTTGTCCCTAATTCAAAAAAAAAAAATTTTCATGTACCACAAGCTTTTCTCTTCCCAGTTCCCTGTTCTAACTCACTGTTCAGCTAATGGTACAGGACCACCACAGAACCGGAGACCAGAGATCATCAAATAAGAAACTGTAACAGCTAAAAGGTATTTACACCCCTAGACCCAAAAGCGTCTGGGCGCTACAAAAAGACTTTAATGTAAACATCTATTACTATGAGATGCTTTTAACAATTGATCACCTGTCTCCTAGATGCTGAACCAGTAAACAGGTACTTTAATCTGTCTCTGATAAAGCTTAACATGTTTCAAAATCCATAGGGACAGGCCGGATCTACCTCAGATAAATGTCAACATAAAATAATAATGATTCTTTTCTCTCTCTAAGTTTTTTCTGTGTCACCAGCATCTTGTCAAACAGAAGGTTCCCAGTCACAGCCAAGAGGGATACATGTCTCCAGAGCAAACTGATGACAGACAACATCCCACAACGCCTGTCTACCTCGGAAGACTCCCCTTCTCCATTCCCCCCAGAGCCAACCAACGTCCAAAAGTCAGCTGGAAGCAGTTTTTGAGAGGAACGACGCCCCTAGTCCCATCTACCTGCTTTTTTTTATAATAAGGGAAAGTCTGGGATGTAAGGTTTTGGTCCTTATTTACGTCCTTTAATTACGTCATCAGCCTTCGCCGGCTTCCCAGCCTAAAAAGCGGTTGGGCCCTCTGTGGGCTCTCTCTGTCCCCTCTCCTTTGCGCTCCTTACCCCCGTCGGTCCCCCTCTCTCCCTCCCCCCCCCGTCTCTCTCTCTTTCTCTCTCTCCCTCTCTCTGTCTTTCTCTGTCTCTCCCCCCCCCCCCCAATAAAGCTCTAAAAAGGTAACCATGGCTAAGATTCTTTCAATCAGCACACTCCTCCGCGGGCATGGCCGCCGCGGGCGGTGACCAGCCACAAGGGGCAGCTCGGCGGCATAACCAACACACAGGTCCTCATGCTTAGAGACAAGCACTAGAGAAACCAGGAAAGTCAAGCACACAGGCTTGTCTCTTCAACAGAAGGGATGTGTACCTCTTTTCCACCCAGAAGACTAGGAGTGGATATTGGTATTAGGCTGGTGATCTCTGCTATCTGTAGGGCCAGGCCTACAGCCTGAATCCCCCAGACTATTATGTTTATCTCAAATTCTTCCTCCCTAAACCTTTATCTTGAGCATTGCTTCTCCATCAATAGAACCCATCCTTAGGGGAGATGTTACATGTACTTTAAAGCCTGGTGATCTCTACACTATCTCCATCAGAGACCATATCAGATCCTAGTCCCTTAAGCTATAGAACTGACCTTCATGGTAGAGGTCACATGTACTTTGCAAACGAGTTTTGATATAATCATACCTTAAGCTTTATTGTGCACATGAGATTGAGACAATTGTTATCAAGGAACTTTTTTCCAAAGTTGTACTGTACTTAAATGTGTCTGAAATAAACTACCTGGTGTCAGACTCCAGAGGTTTGAACCAGCCAGGCTAAGTCATGCTGACCTGATTTCCTTCTTGTCTCTCATGACTGTTTCCTCGTCAGCCATGACGCTTACAGGTACCTCCACAACTAGGCCCTGTTGTAATAACTTTTTTTAAGTGCATGTGTATAAGTGTGCACATGCCATAGTGTATTTGTGGAAGTCAGAGGACAATCTCTTGCCCTACACCTTGTGAGAGACAGGTCTCTTTGCTATGTCAGGCTAGCAGAACAGTGCAATCCTGAGAATTCTACCTCAGCCTCCCATCTCATCACAGAAGCTTTGGGTTACAGACCTTCACTACCAAATCTGGCTTTACACAGATTCTAGGGATTTGAACTCAGATTCCTACAGTTTTCCATGTTCTTTACCCACTAAGCCATCTTCCCAACCCTGTAATAACTTTTTAATGTGTCTTATCTCATCTGTGACACAGACACACACACACACACACACACACACACACGTGTGTGTGCTCGCGCACGCGGGGTCTTGCCCCACCAGAAACTTAGGTCACCACTGAAGAGGTGGCCTGGAACCGAGGAAAGGTAAGTGCGCTGCTCACCCATTTCCCAGCCTTCCTCTTACCAGGAGACAATCAGACACAGTGGGGAGTCAAGTCAAGCAAGAACTCATTTATTATTAGGCAGTAAGCTTCTTTTATAGCAGAAAACCTCAAAACCCTAGGAGGGGGTGGAAGGAACCAACCAATCCTTTTAAAGGTCATACTCATTTCTTTGTTTACGAGCTGTTTCTGCACTGACATCACCTCCTGATCTTTGTATCTAATTCAGTGTAAACAACTTGGACTCTATTTGTCTAACTTCCTCTCAGCACCGTCTTTGTAGCCCATGTATCTCCCCCTCCCCTCAATTCGTTCTGAGGAAGTCAAGTGTAACCCAGCCTCTGTCCCGGGTTGTCACAAAGTTTCCAACCCCTGAGATTTTCTAAGCAATAAGCAACCACCAATTCTCACAGCATTTCCCTTTTAACTACTCTCACATTTATACCAAAGTGACTTGGGTTGACCCTATTTAGTTGCAGGGAGATTGGTCACCAGAAAGACCACTGGTTACAGGAGGGGCATTTTTATTGCTACCCAAGACCTATGGGGAGAGGAATGGTTGCGGGAAGCTTCAGGCAATGTGAGGTCATGGACACACTGGGGTCAGACAAAGTGGTAGCATACAGGGAGGCCATGGGAGGTCCACTCAGCTCCTATGCCCACACTTACCTCATGTGTTTATTCTACATGGTTGTTCCTGAGTGATATTTTTTAATTACAAACTAGGAAATACAGGCATTTTCTTGAGTGTGGAGTCATTTTAGTAAATATTAAATCAGGTGATCTCTGATGCACTAGTCAGAAAGGCAGAGGGTAGAGACCCTCGCAGGCAGCATCTGCAGCAGGTTGATGGGACAGAGTCATCTAATGCTTACTCCAGGAGATAGTGTCAGAACTGGATGCTGAGGTTTGCAGAAAAATGGATGGATCTGGAAACTATTATAGTAAATGAGGGACCCAGACTCAGAACAGAAATCGTATGCTCTCATATGCAGACCCTCCTTTTCCATGTTCATGTCTTTGTATCTAAGTGAGTGAGTGGATGGACAGGCTATGAAACCAGAAAGGAGATCATGAAAAAGGAGGTGCCAAGAAAGAGTAGGGTCGGGGTGGTGGTGCACACCTTTAATCCCAGCACTGGGAGGCAGAGGCAGGTGGATCTCTGTGAGTTTCAGGTCAGCCTGGTCTACAGAGAAAGTTCCAGGACAGTCAGGGCTACATAGAGAAACCCTGTCTCAAAAAACAAACAAACAAAAAATGAAAGGAAGGAAGGAAGGAAAGAAGGAAGGAAGGCAGGCAAGCAGGAGGATCAGAAGTTCAAGGTTATCCTCAGCTAATATAACAAGTTTGAGGCCAGCCTGGGCTACATGATACCCTGTCTCAAAAAGCAAAGCAAAATAAAAGTCAAATATAACAACAACAACAAAATCCAACCCAACTTTAAAAATAACCAGCCTTCCAGTAAAGGGCATCATGATGTCATAGTGTCACCCACCATTCCACCTGTCTTTGAAAAATGCCTGTTTCTCAGGTTTTAGAAAGTTGAGAATTGAGCACCAATAAAGCAGTGACCTTCCCATTCACTCAGCAAGCTGTGCCCATTTCTGCCTCTGTCAGCCTGAGAGTCACCCTCTTGGCTTAGTCCTTAAATGAATTGCTATGGCCACTTAGTGTAAAAGACTGAATAATGGTCCTAACAATAACTATGCTAGTGACCTGTGAGCCTGCTACTATATGTAGCTAAAGGAATGTTGCAGTCATGACTAAAATGAGGATCCAGATAACCCTGAATCATCCAGGTGGGCCATAGATGGACACACAGGTATCCTTTAAGAAGGTGATTTGACACAGAAGAGAGAGGTTCAGGACAATCTCAGTTGAAGAGAGATTTAAAGAGGGTAAATCAAGGACTTCAGGAAGGGGCTTCAAGCCAAGAAAAGCAAGCATTGTAGGATGCTATTCTCTGAGAGAATGGCCATGGCTATCGTGTGTGTGTGTGTGTGTGTGTGTGTGTGTGTGTGTGTGTGTGTGTGTGTGTGTGTGCAGATGAGCTCCATGTTTATGTATATGTGGAGCCTGAAGAGGTTGGAGATTTTTCTCTATTGCTCTCCATCTCCATTGTTGGGACAGTTCTGATTGAAACTAGAGCTGGTGGCCAGCGAGCCTAGGGAACCTGTCTGTTTCTGTTCCCTAGTTATAGGTGCTAGCCTCCGTGAAGAGCTTTTACGTGGGTGCTGGTATTTGAACTCTGGTTGCCACAGCAGCATTTTATCCATTGAGTCATCTCCCTGGCCCACTGTGGTGACCATTTTAATCAGAACAACTGTGTTGACCTATAAATGCCCCTCAGGATGGGGCCCTTTGGGATTGCCCCATAATAGGGTGTGAGGAGGGTCTACCTGAGATCCCACCATCTCCAGCAGCTACTCCCAGCTGCACCTAATTATGCCCCAGATGCAAGGGGTCTCAGGTGGTGCTGGATTGTATGGCGTACATAGAAATTTACCTGAAGATATTCATCTATGCAACCCTGAGTGAGTGGTCATCCATGCTAGCTTGAAACTTTTCAGGGGTGTGGCTGCTTGGGGTCATCCACATTCCTGTAAGTAACCCTTCACCCTTGCTCCTGAAAAATAGGCCCAATAAGCTTGTTGGTTCACCAAGCTAGCTTAGCAAAATCTTTACTTTGGTCAGTGGGTCCTGTCTGGGGTGAGTAAATGTTTGCTCATGTTTTCCCAGGGAAAATTCACACAACAGCAAGAAACAGAGCTGCAGAAGCCAGGAAAGCTTCTCACCCAGAAGCCTCAGCTAAGAGAGGCATGTCTCAGATGCCTTGACTGAGGACTGGGGAGGTAATTGCCAAGACTTCTGGCTTCCAAGACTGTAAAGAGAACAAATGGCCACTCCATAAAGACTGGGTCTCTATACCTTGTCCCCACAGCCACAGGGAGGCGAATCTGCTTTTTAAAGTGTCTACACTGAGAGCTATAGCAGCACTGTCCATTCCTGAAGCCTGGGCATGCCCTCCCCTGGCCATTA